CCCGGAGTCAGTATGCCGACAGCTCCCCCATCACTGGCCTATGTTGGTGGACACCTGTGTGAATTTTCATCACAATCGACTCTTGGCGGCCTAGAACTGTCAAAGATAGACTATCCAAGTGTTCACTGCACATCGACTGCTGAGATAAACCGAGATTTAGATCTGCTTACCCAGAAAGTGACAAAGTTAGCTATTGACGGTGAGCTACATAGTATAAATAATTTTACGTTGTGGTTTTATACAAGTTCTAGAAGCTGTTACCTGCGGGTCACTATAGCCTGAGGGTGTGAAAACAGAGACAGTGAACGTTCGCCTTTATACACGCGGTCCTTTTCTCTTTAATAAGTGGAAAAATGAACACGAGATTGTAAGACTCTTATCTATCCAGGTTTTTCGCCGAGTGAATCATATCATAGCCAACTGCGCGGACTTTTTCGTAGCAATTTTTGATTGTGATCGACTGTGGCCTGTCTGAATTTGCCAATTAGTTGAGAATCAGCGGGGTAAATGTAAACTAACGCTCGTTGATGAAAGTTCACCAACCGCTCCGTTAGCAGTCAGTGAACGTTCGTAAACGCGTGTCAATATCTCCCAACCTAAACCGGCTCGTAGCTCAACGGTTAGGGCGTTTGACCTCGATCAAAGGTCGAGAGTTCGAGGCCCGGTTGCTGCACCACTTGGGTATGACTGGTTGACGACGGCTAATAAGCTAGAAATGATCATTCCAGTATCCGTTGTCTTTGCCGGCAATATTAAATGTACATTAGTTGTTGAATGCTTTCGGAAAAAACGTTTTGCCACTGAGGATTGGTACTGCTTCCAAAACATCAGTCATCCAGGTGCTCCGCCAATCAACACGGGATATCAGCGAACACTTAGTAAAGGAACAGTCCGAATTGCTAGCAGGTAAAATTAAAAAAAATATTTCTGCCACTTCATATAAAGAGCATGCACGCACATAAGTCTCTTTATCTTGGTGTTTGAAGCGCTCATTACGCGGTGTCCACCCTGATTTCACGTTGAAGTCTCTCTTCATCCATGAGGCGCTGATTTACAGCCCCCACGACTTGCAAACTTTCATCAGCTGTCCATAATGAAGAATTATTTCTGATGAAAACCTCTAGGACTGGTGTAAGAGATATGCCAATTCCTGCGCCGTTCCTTGAAGACGCATTTCCAATTTCCATACCTTCTGTCAGGTTAAACTGCGGTTATAAGGAGTTTCATGGCGCCTTCTTAACAGAATCTCTGGTTAGCATTCTTCGTCAAAATAAGTATGCTGTCATTCACCTATTCGCACTCCTTGCCTGGGCTATTAGTTACCACATGTAGCCTTATTACTACAAAAACATTGTTTAAGTTGATCCAAAACTTTTGCTGGCAAGGATCAGAGAGAACAGGTTGCTTATCCTTATTTACTTCCCGTCGTGAGTCAGGTTCCCTCATTTCGGTCCCTACAACACCCAGAGCTCTGCGTCTAGGCTTCGCATTCTTCTCGTCGTCACTGCAAACATTCAAAGTCACACAGGATTTGTGCCTGTCGATATTCTTTGATTGCTGGCTTAAACACGAAACAACACAATAATTCAGGACAGCACGTCCATGCGAGTATTTTAATTTCCAGTCTTATTAAATTGTTGAACCGTACTCTAATTTAGTTGCCCCATTCGAAGCGAGCCCTTCATAAAATTGACTGTCT